CACCTTTTCTCCAGCAACTTCGAAAAGGACCTTCTTGTCGCTGTTGTGGATGATGTCCGTCTTGACGGGGTGCAGGTGTAGTCCCCGACGGGGGAGGTGTTGCGAGAGTTCCCCGAGCAGCCTTTGTAGGTGATCTCTGTTGGTGGACCAGATGTAGTTGTCATCCATGTAGCTTCCCCCGTCTTCAGGTGGCGGGTAGTCTGTGCGTGGCTTGCTGGGCTTCGCCGCGGTGATGCTCTTGTCGAGGTCTTTTGCTACAAGAGCACCGAAAGCGACGGGGCTCTCCGGCGCACCTTGGCGGACACCATTGCTCTGCCGGGCGGGGATGCTTTCCCCAGCAACCTGCACGGCTATTCTCTCGGCGTGGAGGAGGGCGACCCATGCGCGAGCCTCCCAGGGGTGTCCCCCTTGTTCCCCGACGGTTTCTGAAACGTGCTGTGCCAAGCTTTCCTGGAACACGGAGTCGAAGGCCTTACGTATGTCGAGCTTGGCGATATAGAACTCGAGGCCCCAGTCGTGTGCCATGCGAGCGAGGCGCCTCAATATCTCTCTCTCTCTCTCTCTCTCTCTCTCTCTCTCCTTCGTTCCTCCATGCATGCGTTGTAAAGCACACATCCGTTCTCGTCCAGCTACATCTGCTACGAGGCCAGAGCGGGAGCACGGACCACTTGAGAATCCCGACTGCAGTTCGTTGTGCACATATATTCTGTAGCTGTGTGATGTTGTTTAATTTCCAATTCCTGGTGTCCTATACTGCACGCAGCCCAAGGCTCCAAGATCAACAGGGTGGGTTCGAAGACGAAAGCGACCATCCAGCCTGGGCAAAACAGGCAGGAGAGGCAGGCCCTGGCCGAACTTTGGAGATGAAAGTGGCCGGGATGAGGAGTTCGTCCGCCGACACCAAGAATAAAGCATCGGTTAAGGCGAAGCCGAAGAAGGATCCAGATGTGTGTGCGACTGCAACAATCTAGATTGTAGATATAATAGGGTATACCCTTATCGTTCCTCTTTCCTCCAGGAGCTGACAGCCGACGAGAAGCTCAGGAAGGACTTCCAACGAGATCACACCGGGCGCCTAGCTTGACATAGTCGTATAGGAGCAGAGAGAACATGCTGGACTCCACTCGATCTGCATGGGTCTTTAAATATATGCAGCTCAGGATACGAACCATGTCCGACAAGGCGGCGCTGGTGGCTTCCGAAATCACCTCGGCCCGCATTCTCAACCAGGAGGCCTGTGCTCTCCAGGAATCCACAAACCTCAAACAGACCCTAAACCTTAGAACCTTTTATTACCGAAACCCCCAAAGCCGAAACCCCCTAAACCCCCTAAACCCCTAAACCCCTAAAACTTAAACCCCTAAACCCCGAGGCCCCTAAACTCCCAAACCACACATTCCCTAAACGAACCCTGCACAGAAAATGGTGGAAAGCCTGGGGAAAGTCAACACGCAGTGCACTGCTATCTACAATGAGTGGCTCGGCATGCAGCAACAACACCTCACCCCTAAACCTCATTGTAGGCCCCATATAAGCCCTATAGGACTATAGGCCTTGAACCCTGCCGAAGCTACATCCCAGGATTCAGCAGATGGTCTTCTCGTGTCGGCCGGTGCCCGAATGCTATGAAACTCTCGAAATGGTACAAAAAGGAGCTGGAGGCTGTCGTTCGTTTTTTGGGTTTCTCTCTCTCTCTCTCTCTCTCTCTCCCCCTCTCTCTCTCTCTCTCGCTCTCCCTACCCACAAACCCGGCCCTATCCTACACACAAACATTCCAAGTCCCACCCTCAACTTCCGCACAGGCAGCCCAGGCTGTCGTCGTCAGCGGCGAGGATATTGTGGATAGCCACAAGAGACGTTCCTGGGCTAAATGTATTCAGTGCTGGTGTACAACCTCAACTCAGTCCAATGACCTCGCAGGTTTGGCATCGGAAAAAAGAAAAAAAGAGAAGGAGGAAAAGAAAGATAAGAAAGGCAAAGCAAAGAATGATGACGAACCTGATGACGGTGAGTATGATGATGATGATGAGGAGGTGATGGGAGATGGCCGAGCTTCCGTCCCCGACGAAGAGTGGCCGGAGGAAGACCAGGACGAGCCTGCTGCAAAACGCAGGAAGTGAGTGAATGGCTGTGCTAGCTTTTTTGGGGCTAGGGGGAGGGCAGTATCGGAGTGTGTATGGTGCACGCTGCAGCCAGACTCTTGGACCTCACCTAAACATGTTTCCTGGACCGAGCACTCGATGCTGCCTGGCCATGCAATAAGCATGGCCTGTGTCGTCTTCTTCAGAGCTTTGATTTGAATTGACGAGAAAACCAGGAATCCTGAACAGCCGGCCTTGCCCAGAGATCGATGCATTGCGCAGCATTCAGATCATATAGTCGCTGGTCGGGAATTGATCAAGATGCCGTGCCTCAGCTTGATCAGCTCGTCTGTGGTGCCATGACACGCGGGGTACCCGAAGCACTTGCACAGTATGGTCTCGGTAGCCCTTAACAGATCCTGCACCCCCATATGACACATCCTCGGTTATAGGGCTTATAGGGTTTAGGGTTTTTAGGGTTTTGGGGTTGAGAGGTTGAGGAGTCCATAGGTTTCAGGCTTTGGCTGTGTTTCTTGATTCGACGCGGATCTAGGGGTTTACGGGTCCCTAAACCCTAAACCCCAAACCCTATACACCCCTTTTCGCCGAACCCCAAACCCAAACTCTAACCCCAACTTTAGCTGTTGCTTCTAAACCCTCCCTAAACCCCAAACCCTAAACCCTACACTCAAAACCCTAAACCCCAAACCCTATACACCCATATACGCCGAACCCCAAACCCAAACTCTAACCCCAACTTTAGCTGTTGCTTCTAAGCCCTAAACCCCAAACCCTAAACCCTACACCCTAAACCCGAAACCCCAAACCCCGAACCCCACACCCTAAAACCCAATTCCTAAACCCATACGCCGAACCCCAAACCCAGCCTTTAACCCCCAACTTTAGCTGTTGCTTCCATGGCCTGTGCCGTATAGACATACCAGAGCTCTGGTGCAGCCAGTGTCGCCGATTCCTGGGTATATGGCAGGGTTCTATGATATGTGGGAGGCTAGACCTTGATTTGATCATGTTTTCTAGTGTTGTTGCACTTTAGTTCTTGAGGAACAAACAACTTCATGTTTTAAGTGCCTCCTAGAACGGCCCAGGAACGAGAGCCAGCCCGATCGCACGTCCGAGGACCCTGAGTGATTGGAGATGTCGTCGGGATCCGAACCCGACCCGATTTCACGATATGTCCGAGAGTCGAGCGAGCATGTTCTGAAGCTCCTATCGAAGGGGCAGGCCACGTTTCCAACAGAAGGGTTCCCCATTGTTCATGTAGGTCAATGCTTATGTGTATAGTTGGCCCTGAAGGTTCCTTTGTCCGAATTAGCCGTCGCTCTTGAAAGACTGTACAAATTACCGCATGGTCTGCTGAGGTGTCTCCGCTGCATTGTAATACCCTAATCCCTAAACACTAAACCCAATTATAAACCATAAACCCTAAACCCTATAAGCCGATCTAGAGCGGTTTGGGGATTCGATCCATAGTACTTTATCATCATCCCGGCCCCGCGAGGCCAGACATGGTGGATCTAGCTATATCATTTCGTTCACCTACTTCCGGCGGCTCCTGGGGCCGCATGCGATTGCTGGAACGGTGGGCGGACAAGCAGCCCTGGAGGAGGGCACTGCCCAAATCCTTCCAGTTTCCTATCAGCCTTCAGAGAACAATTGCAACCCAACAGAAACTTTTCTTCCATCCAAGGTTCGAGCTGACGGCTGTGTACGACGACGCTCATGGTCCTCGAGCACGAGTGGTTAATCACCACATGCTGCTTCCTCATGAAATATTTGCATCGCTGCACGAGTCGGGGAACTCACACCAGTTGTACGAATCTCTGGAGCAGGCCACTTGAATCCATGATTCAAATTGTATTTAACTGTGTCGGTTAACTGTGTGCATCTGTTGGCAATCCGAGGTTCTGCATACTGGTCGGAGCAGCCGGACCAGACGTGGTGCCGGGAACATCCGATCCTGAGTGCTGCACAGCTGCAGCAACTAAACCCTAAACCCTAAACCCTAGGAAGTGTGTTCCACTCCGAATATACGGTGATGGTGCTGAGTTTACCAGCCGCTCACTTGCAAAGAAGTTCGATTATGAGTGCTCGCTGCATGCAAGACTGTATGTGCAATCGAAGCTAAGGAAAACAGAAATTCGAGATGTTCTGTTTGTTGGCCCCGCTGGGCACGGGTTCATCCAGCACGATGAACGGCAGATTCCTGCCGCCCAGCAGAAACTCACGCAATGTTCCCTGTAAAGCCCGGCCGTCCCGAACCATTTTTGACTAGTGGCGATGCATCGATACATCATATAGCCAGCCAGCCTTGGATTGCAGGTTGTCCTGCATCAACATGTGTTACCACAATGAGCTGTCTCGCCGCACCATTATTGAAGTCATCTCTTGGAGTATGCAAGCTTTGAGCAACTTCGCAGCATGATATGTTAGATTGTTTGCGTGCAGGCACGTCGCACGGCGATCCCTCAATCCTAAATCCTCAATCCTCAAACTTGAACACATGTTCCCTGTGTACTAAAGAGAGCTTGAGCCGAGCAACAGAAGCAAGCTGTGAGGAACAGAAAGGGAAACGCACCATGGCCGCCAGGGGACGTAGAGGACGGATTAAGGACATATGTACGGCTACTACTGCTGGCTTGGATTCGTTCTCAACAGAAGCAAGACGAAGCTCTAGCCGGAGGCTCTTGTTGTACTCCGACAGCTCTGTGGAACGTCGAGAACGGCAAAACGCCTTGCAGGACCGGAAAAACGGACATTGAACTTGCGCAAAAGAGAAACTCCGACATGCACGAAATCGTGAACCAGTCAGGTGACACCACGCAAAGGCACCTACATGCTCGGCCACTTACCGTCGCAGGTGGCTGGAGGCAAGCGAAGCGAAGGAAGAAAATGGAACCTGCGCCCATTTGTTTTTCCAGAAAAGCAGAAAGCGCTGCGGAGTAGCTGTCGATCCTGCTGCACCCGAGCCACGTCTGCAACAAGCACAAAACCGAGGACCACTGCTGCCACGACTAGTACTCACCCAGGACGCCCGAGAACTACTGCTACTAGTACTAGTACGACTACTGGGATTACCACGACGACGACTACTACTACTGCGACTACTGC